CCCTTTTTTTTTTTGGGTCTTTCCCCCCCCCCCCCCCCATTATCTTATAAAGTAGTAAGATTTATTAAAAAATGTTCCCTTGATTTCTGGTTTACCTACTTTTAAGACTTTTTTTGAAATATATAATAAAACTATTTTCCTTTGTGTTTTCTTTCATTATCTGTACCCTTTCAGAGATTACCTTACTTTTCATTGTTTACATCTTAAAAAACAAAAACAAAATATTTAACTCTTTAATACAGTGTTTCTTAAACTATTTTAGCTCATAGATCTTGCTGAGAAAAAATATGGATTCTCTATCATGAAAAGTACACCCACTGAATTTTACATTCTTGGGGGATTCTCAGCAGATAACCAGAAACCTGTTCATAGACTCTTCAGTGTGCTTGGGGTAAAGAATCTCTAAACCATCTAGAAATTATTTTTGTTCATAATGTAGTCTCCTGTAGATATTGAGGAAACCCTTTACACACATGTTGGGAAAATAGAATAGTTTGGTCAAGGCCCTCGGGTCCAGTTGGGTGTGGTTTTAGCACATCCTTTGTAAGCAAATTGTGTTTGTGCGTGGAGTTAGTGTGCATGTGCGCCAATGTATCTTTTTAGTTTTGTTGCTATTCTTGTGTTCTTCAGAGAGAGAGAGAGAGTAGTTTTAGTGAAGCAGGCAGGCGGGCGTCTGCCTCGGGCATCCGCCCTGTGTGGCCATGCTTCCCACCTCATAGACCTGCATGTAAGGTGTCTGGTGACCCAGCCTGGTGTGTTTAGGGTTTGTGACCCAGTCTGTGAACGGGCTTGAGGGGTCTGTGCGTTCCAGATCCAGCCTTAGCTCTACAATCGGCCCAGTCAGTGCGGGATTACCAGCAGGTAAAAGAGCCCGACAACTGGCATAGTCTTGTGGCTAGACAGTTGGTAATCTCGACAGGATTCCAACAGTAGCTGTGGCACAGCAACACAAAACAGAACAAATTTAGAAATATGTATGTAGGAGAAACATATGATTTACAGTGTTTAGCTTACATTTAAAACACTTGGCACATGGCTTAGCATACTTAGCGTGTTTGAATCTGAATGTGAGACTGAACGAGGCATTCATATAATTTATAAGT